GGTCTGGCAGGGGAGATTTGATTGTGTTTGTGGGAGATGGAAGAATGAAGAGAAGGCTGGCAGAACCCCTAATCTTTCTGCTAAAAAACATGGTGAAATGGAAGTGTAGTTGGGATTCAATTTGATGTTCAAATTTCCTACTTTGCCCTTACCCAAAACTGAATATACAGCTCTGCACACCAATTATTTAATACAAAAATCGTTTTAAATGCCACGTAACCAATACTGTAACGGCCGTTTGTCCAATTTAACGGCAGGCCTGTATTTGATTCAATTTTACAAAAACAAGGACTCAATTGATACGCCGAAAATGAAGAGGACCTATTTGAAATTCATGACCAAAATAGGGACCTAGGGAGACATTAAACCAATAAAATATTATGATTTGATGTAGTATTTTCTTCTCCAAACATAATGAACAGATTACATATTTTTTAAATTGACAAACTTAGAAGGTAAATTATATGTTAAAAAGTGATTTTTAATTAGTTAGCTTACATATGAAAAAAAGAAATATTTTAATTTTCATTATATTAAATATTACTTAATTTTTAATTATTACTTTTAAAATTTAAATTATATATATATATATATATATATATATATATATATATATATATATATATATAAAAGCTTAAAGCCTAATATCATAACATTTATAAAAAAAAATACAATAGTCTATTCTTACTTGTTAGAATCTTACAACAATATATATTACTATATAAAAATAGCTCATAATTAATAATTACTATATAAAAATAGCTCATAAAAATAGCTCATAACAATATCTAAAAATATCAACTGTTATTTAATAATTTTTTTCTAATTAAATAATTATTTATCAAATTTTATTTCTTAAAAATAAATCTTTTAAATTAAAACAAATCCTTTAAATTATACTTAAAATATTTAACCATGTTTATGTAATTTTTTCAAAACATTAAAATGTCTAGGATTTCCTCACCATTTTTCTTTAGACTCTAAACGTTTTTTTGGCATTTATTCAGTTTGGCTGTAGATAAACTTTCTCTCAAACACGTTCATTTCGCTGGCTCAAAATTTTCAATTCAACCCATTTGGTTTTCCATTTATCTACTAACTCACCTTTTTTGTTGTTTCCTTTTTGCAGAACTTTGAATGAAGAAATGGCGCTGTCACATTCCATCACTCTGCCCTTCTCCTCTTTCGTTTCATCTAGGGTTACAAAACATAGCTCCAATTCATGTTTTCTTCCCTTAAGCCTGGCAAGTATATTAATATCTTCTCCTTGCAATTTTTCTAAGACCCTTTTGGTTAAAATCAATTTCTTCATAGGTTACTCTTTTAACTTGAAGAAAACAAGAAGGCAAAAAGGAAATGAATTGAGATTTAATGGAATATTTTGTATAAGAGTTCAGCACTTGCAATTCATTTTCATCGTCTTATGTTCCTTTTCTCCGAAGTGGTTATGGAGAAATTCATTCAATTAAGGTTTAAGTTTTGAGTGTTATCTCATATAAAGTTTGATAAACTGTTATATGTCTCTCAAACAGGATGGTGATAGCAGAAAAATAAGAATCTCAAGCAGAGTCCAAGCACTCAAATCTGATGGTGGTAAATGGAAGAGAGGGAAAGAAACATCTAGTGACTCTGATGATGACGATGACGATGATGCAACAACTGGGTCTGCTAAAAATGACCCTTACCTTATGAGTCTGGAGGAGAGGCTGGAATGGAGGAGGGCGATAAAACAGGTGTTAAATAAGGAACCCAATGTAGAAGAGGAATTAGACCCTGAGGAAAAGAAGAAAAAACTGCAGAAGCTTATGGATGATTACTCTCTTGTTGTGGACGAGGATGATCCAAACTGGCCTGAAGATGCTGATGGCTGGGGATTCAGCTTGGGTCAGTTTTTTGACAAAATTACTATTAAGAATCAGAAAAAGGATGATGACAATGACGATGATGTTGACCGTCCGGAAATAGTGTGGCAAGATGATAATTACATTCGTCCTATCAAAGACCTAAAGACTGCAGAATGGGAGGAGACAGTATTCAAAGACATAAGTCCCTTGATTGTTCTCGTGCACAATCGATATAGAAGGTTAACATCAAGCTGTTGTTTATTTTGTATATTTTGCAATCAAATAAAAGTTAAATGTTCTTAATTTTATTTTTAGGCCAAAGGAGAATGAAAAAATTCGGGAGGAACTGGAGAAGGCTGTGCACATCATATGGAACTGCAGATTACCTTCACCAAGAGTAAGTAGTCAGTAAAATTTTATACCTTTGGTTCCTGCTACTTTAGCATGAGATGTTTTTCTTTTCTTTTGTCTCACGACCTGGCACTTCTCTTATGAAAGTGTGTTGCAATTGATGCTGTTGTTGAGACTGAACTGGTAGATGCACTAAAAGTATCAGTATTCCCAGAGATTATCTTCACTAAAGCCGGCAAGATTTTATTCCGTGACAAAGGTATATATTACACACAAAATATTTTAAAAAGAAAAGAAATTTCGGTTTCCCGTTTCTTTAATCTCTTTCCTTCTGACTTTGCATAACTTCCATTTGGTGGTCTCTCAGCCATTCGCACCGCAGAAGAGTGGTCAAAAGTCATGGCTTACTTTTACTATGGAGCAGCTAAACCACCCTGTTTGAATAATGTGACATTTTCCCAAGAAAATATTCCTTCTGTTGTCACTAATAATCCAGTGTCCTGAAAAATCAAGGTTCCAAATTTTGAGTTCATCGTGCTGAAATATTTCAAGGTAAAGATGCCTCTGACATTAGCCTTTGTATAATGAATGCAAGGGGAATGTATAGCTCTATTGAATGCACATAATATGATAAGAGGCAAGAAATTTGTTAGGGCTGGCTCTTTTGATGACTGTTCATGGATGCCAACAGAGGAAATGAGCATTACACTTAGCTTGTTGGGATGAAAGAATAAATGAACATGGAAGATGAAAATTCGAGACAAGGTGACTAATTTGGTACTGAGTAAAAACTTCATGTATCCTTGGGGCACTGTGCATATTCTTAGGATTCATTGAGTCATTTTTCGTATAAATGAGAGTTATTTGTAATAGATATATTAAAGGGTTGTAAGAAGTAGTATTGGCTAACAATACTGTATGAGGTTTTGATAGTTAGATTCTGACAAAATAGAATATGGTGGCAAGTAGTTTTATAATTGCATAAAATAATTCATTTTTCTCTGTTAAATCAAATTAACGTGGTAGGAAGTAGCAAGTATTATTTAATGTGTTTTGAAAAACTGTTTCAGATGGTAAGTAATATCTACTCAAACAAATTACAAAAGAAATCACAACTGGGGAATAATTAATTTATAGAAATTACAAAACCAACTTGAACAAAAACATATTTAATGATAATTTTTCTCTTAAAAAGTAAAAGTCTAAAATGTTTATCATTTTCTTTTTATTCTACTTATAAACTTATTAGTAAGAAGTATTACTTGGATTTTTAATTTAAGTAAAACCTTTTATATGAATTTCAAGCGTTACAAATTTAAAAATGTAATTTCTATTTGTTTTACAAACTGTTTGTTGATTATGATCATGGTTAGGTGTATAAGAATTAACATATTTATCCTACGAAGCATCATAATTTTAACAAAATTGTAAAAAGTTTTATCTGCTCTTTTAATGTATTCACTCACATCGAAATAAATACGTGTACTTATTAACTATATGAATCAATGATGCCATCACAAACTATTTTAATCCTTCCTTTTTTTTCATCTAGGCTGTTTTAAAATATATCAAGATATTCTAATGACTCTTTTCAAATAGAGATAATTTTTTTATAATAATTAAACAATAAAATCATTTTCAATAAAAATTAAATATAAAATATCCTGTGACCCCATGTTGCGTCATAGTTGGATGAGTCTTGAGACGAACAAAATCCACCTTTATAAGGCAAAGCACAACTAATACATGACCATCATCAATGTCCAATCATTTACTGAATCACTATAATTTTACAATAAATTCAAACAAAATTTGCACCAATTTATAAGAAATATGGAACGCCTGTCCTGGGCCCTCTCATCTGATTGTTTTCCTCTGTTTCAGTGAAAAATTTAACTTCTCTTTCCTGTCACAAAGAAAAGGTACAAGTTATAAGAAAATGAGGTTCCAAGATATCTACTATAATTAGCAATTTTACATGCCCATTCATACTTACCACATTTTCAATTTCATTCCACTCCAAGCATATTTCAGATATTAAACTAATAAATGGTTAAAGCTAAAAATAAAGTTTTTACTTATATTCATGAAAAAAAATACCTTATAACTGTTAACATGATCTCACTGATGAAAGTATTCATAACATGTCTAATAAAAAACATAATAAAAACAAACAAAATTAGTTATGTTGGAATGCAGTTGAAAGACATACAAGCCTTGCATTTGTTTGTCCGTATGAATTGAACACATGTTCAGCAAGTTTTTACAACCATTTTGGCACCCTGATCAACCAATGAACTAAACTCACTACAAGATTTATAATCTATTCCTGACACAGTCATCACATCACAGCAAATTTAGCTACACTAAATTGAAAAAATTTCATGCCAGGTAAAAAATAAAAGATGAAATTACATCATAATTCCATTGAAAGTTCAACAGTGACCACCGGATAACATAAAAACCGCGAGGCAACCATCTCATGATAATGGAGTCGTTATAGAATGCAATTAAGGGAAAAGAAAAGCACCAGGATACCACAAATTCAAATGAAGTGACCGTGATTAAAATACAGGAAATAGATTTACACAACACAAAAGGCTTCAGATGACTCACCATATTTTCATTGAAACTCAGAATAGAAGCTACATTTCCACATCGGTAACAGTAATTAGGTGCAGACCATACCTGTAAATTTCCAAGGGAATCACTATTAACCACTTAATATTTATGAGACTGAAATTATATTTGAAAAAGTTAGGGTAAATAAAATGTAAGGTAATGTAATTCATATACGAAACATACAGTTACAAGGCCTTTATCTTGGAACATATACTTGAGGCCTTCTTGAACAAGTTGATGTGCTCGACAAACAAGATCAAGATTATTTATGTGATTGAACTACATTAAAAAAATGCACTGGTAAGATTAAAGCATAATATTCAATTCTAAAAGCAATACGAAATAGATTGCATTACCTCAGACGTGACCCTAGATCCAAATAGCCAACCTGCACCACGGGGACTGACTGCCCATGTTTCAATATCTTCAGGATCACTCCACATTAGATCACAGAAAGGACCCTCGTGAGGAATTTCACAGTTCCGATCAATGACCCTTATCTGCAATAAAATAAAATAAAATCCACCACTATCTATTAATCACGATAGAAAATAGCTTTCGTTAAGACTGACAAAAACCACAATTCATTTATCATAATAATTATCCAAAAAATTGAGAAACTAAGTATTTTCTGGAGTGGTTATTAAAAAGCAAATCTAAGTTTTTTGTGCACCAATATGATTGACAAATTTAAAAAGTAATTCAAACAAAATACCAAAACTGTTAGCAGTGAAAGATTCTAAGGTCAAACAAAAACAGGTCACATAATTAAGTTAGAATTAAAAATAAAGAAAAGGAAAATATACATGTGTTCAACTTTTCGTGTTCCTGCCAAAAGTCAAAGTATTATTGGAATCATGGGGAAGAAGGATCAGCACGCAGGCTAAGTTAAAAGACATTTCACATCGGGAAAGCAGAGTCAAGAACCATAAATTCAGAAACATCAAATATGCAATTTGACAGTACATGTAATGTTTCCATGAACAGACAGTGTATGAAGGCATTATAAGGATGACACATTGACACCATGGTGCAATGTGGGTGCTGAAAATTGAATATTGTTAATTGAAAAGATATATAAAACAATGATGAATCCAGAAATTTTTCTCCATGCGGCTAGATAATAATTTACAATATTTTTCACAAAGTCCATGTTTTATTAAAAAACAAATATAAAATTCTTTATTTTGAATATCATATTATATTTGAGCTTTGACTACAATTGTAATATGGGGGGACGATATAATTTTTTAATGGGGGCAATTTTTTTTCATACGTTAACAAAAAAAAAATTAAAAAAGAAAAAGATCTTGTGGGGACAATTGCCCTCACAAGACATAATGTGCATCCGCCAGTGCCTAAAAACAACACACGTGAGGCAACAGTATGTTATAGAAGTATTGTGTTTGGCTAACAATTAAGAAGGGGGCTAGAGAACCTGATCAATTGAGCGAATGTCAGGAGAAAGGCCACCATGAACACAAAGCACCTGGGTCAAGCATAAGATGTAGAAGACTTAATTTTGAACAAGCAACATCAAACAGAAGTCAAATGAATGCAGTATGCTACCCCCACTAAGATGCACACAGGCACATGAAAGATAGATACTTGAGAGAAGAGAGTAAGAGGTATTTACAGTTCCATCAATAATTGCAGAAAGCGTTAGATAGTCAAACACATCTGTACAATAACGCCATGCGTTGGCATTGCCGTACTTCCTCTGGCATTCATCATAAAATCCGTAGACCTATCAAAACAGAAAATTAAAAAATAATCATGAATCAGCATTATACTTTGGCATATCTGGTCTATGTTTCCACAATTCATATCTCCATTATTGAAGCTAGCATTATTATTGGAGAAATAATGCAAAACAATTATATTTTCTATATAAAAACCACCATCAAATTATAAATCAACAGACTTTTCATTTTATTTCCAATCCAGCTATGGAACCTGACATGGGGTCAAAGTACAAAATGAACCATAGAAAATAAATCATGGCTGACCTCAAATTTTCAGAACCCTAGGCAAATTCGTGAAGGTGAGAATAGAGGGAAGGAGAGAAAGTTTAAAGATTTGTTTATATTAGCGATAAGACATATATAGAAAGTTGTATTATGTCCATAATTACCTCTTTCAAAGTTAAGCACCATCACCTCTTCATTATTTTCAAAATAATGGATTGAGTGATGGAAAAATCACTTTTCATCCATTAAGATTTTATTGACTAATTATTTTTTTATAATAATTTTTTTATTTTTCTAATAAAAACATGTAAAGTACTAATAATAATTATACAACTTTTAATTTTAACATGTGTATATTCGGCCATTTTTCAGTGCCCTCCATAATTTGAGGTCCTGAACAGTCGCCTACCTTGATTGTGCCCAGGCCCCTCTGAAATAAACATTAGCACACGCTACCACCACCAAAGCTTATATGCAATTTTCCTAGCCTGTAATTTTCCTAGTCAGTTATTATTAGCTAGCATTTTACAGTTGTTTGATAGCTGCCAACAAACAAAACATTTCTGTTGTATTCCAGACAATAATGGAATAATAATAATAAGTGCATGACTGAGTTCTTTAATCCCTTTGTTTCTCTCGTATCTCTCTACTCTTGACATATATTGTTCCTCTTTTCTCTTCCCCACTTAAATCTGTCAGTGGTATCTAGAGCCTAACTGTCCTGGGCCACCAGACATAATCTTTCCACCAATGAGCACTGGAACACATGAAGTGAAGAAAACCTCGTTCAAATTGAGCAAATGCCTCAAGGTCTGATATACTATCAGACATGGAGGAAGAACAATGATTCTGTCAAAAAGGGAGAATTGACAACCAACCCAATTAAAAAGTATGGAATTTCTGAAGTTTCCAAGGGGAGATGTTATAGCTTAAATACTTAAATGTAAAGAAAGATACTTCGAGCATGACGAAACTCCTAATGTCATGAAGATTGCGGGAAGACAACTTCCCAGACTGGATGAGTACGTCAAAAGCCTAGAATGATTGTTCTGGACCTACTCACAACGTACAGTGGAGCTAGATGTGTGTGTGACAGTTTGACATTAGCAGAATTTAAAAGTAACTTTGATAATTTCATTGCAAAGCTCACCAAGGACAATAGTTTCCATCAGAAGTGGATGAATCTGGTGAGCAAAGAGGGTTGATCCACTAAGGGAAAGTCATAAGCATCCTACTGCTCTTCAAAAGAGTGCTAAAATCACCATGAGTTCATATAGAAAGATATTCTGACGCTAAGAAAGAAGTGATTGAAGGCTTAGTGGGGGATTTGTTGAGGACAAGACCCTTGAGAACCAGGGTCCTCTTTTGAACAGGGGTAAAGTTATGTGAAATAGGAAAAGACGGTTAGCTAGTTAGTCAATCACTATTGGGCAGATTTTATAATTATTAATGTTAAGCAGTTATCTATAAATGGAGCACGACTATGGTATTTTAGACAAGTTGGAACTACTCGGTTCTTCAATTCATATGCTACTCTCATCTCTCTATCCTTTTTGTTCTATTCTTCCCTCTTCTTCCCCTCTTTCCTTCTCTTATACAGGCAGGCTAAATACTTAACAAATTATTTAATTTAAAGAACTATAAATTGTTAGAATCATTGTTAGAGTCTATCCTATCGATATTTGTTTTTTGTTTGACATATTGTTCCACCCGCTATCAAACCACTCATTAATGTATAATCCTATATACAAGATGTATATACCTCGGCATGAGAGAGATGTGTTGGAAATCTCACATCGACTAGTAATAAGACCAGTATAGAATATATAAGTGGGTACAAAACTCAACTTACAAGTCAGTTTTGTGAGGTTGAGTTAAACTTAAAGTTCACTTTTTAACACTGATAAAAACTGAAAAATCAGGCACTATTTTAATTTATTGTGCATATATAGGTAATACTACTAAAAGAGAACAAATGTAGTTACTACGTCAGAAGCAGACTAAAGACAATGGATAAACCTAGGTATTTAGGTGGCTGCCTCACCTCTACCTCATTTTGTTTCCCTACCTCCCTCTCCTTATCACCATTCCAATTTAAGTTCACAATGCTTACTGCATCCGGGTAGTTAACAGAAAGTTACATGAGGTCACATCTCTAATAATACTTATAACCCCAACTGTCAATAAATGATGATGCACATCACACAGAATCCAGAAAAATCAAGTGAGCACATACTAAAAAAACAAAACTTTCCACCCTTTAAACTTTAGAAGGCAAGGTAAATATGTTACTCTGCAATATTCCAATATCAAGTAACGAAAGCCAATAAAAAAGCCTTGTCAAAGCCAGATGGCAGAAGACACATAGAAACCATGGAAGATAAGGTCCCTAATGGTCATAAATTCCTTAAGTTTTCGTAGCCATTTTCAAATTTCAAACAAACCAACCATCTCCTAACATTGATTATAGCTTAGGAAATTCCAATCAACTACATTCCCAATTCATGCTTAAAAATTTCAAAAGGACTAAATTTAAAATTGCCAATAATCAACAATTGGACCCAGGAAAAAAACTGTGAATTCGACAACACTAGCAATGGTGAAAAATTAAGTAAGATTGCATCACTGCAATTGGCAAGCTAGAGTCATACACATGTAATCACACAACTAAAACTTTCTAATATCATAACTAACTAGCATGCTAGACTGACAAGATTCAAAAATATTTTATAGACCCCTCCCAGTTGAATAAAAATATATAAAATTCAGTAAGTTTAGAATGATTCATGTAAAGATTTCATTCACAAGGCGTACCTGGGTTAATTGTCTACTTTCATGATTTCCACGTAAAAGAGTAATGTTAGCTGGGTATCTATGAAATTACAGAAAAATAAAGGATCCATAAATTTTAAAAGGAAAAAAAAAAAAACTATAAGAATAACACACTAATAACTGCTTCTCAACAAAAGACATAAATAATACAGCAAATGAAAGATGCAATATATCTAGCGTTTGAGCTTTAAACATGACCAATGAAATCTAGCAATTTACAATCATATTTTTCGTGCCATGTTAAGCTGTAGAAAAAACCTTTACAGAAGAGCCCACTGAATAATATGTTAATGTTTGGCACTTCATGCAAGAGCTTGGGCATATTTCAGAAAGCTTGATCAATCTTATTCCTTCCAAGGAGAAGAAACTAAGAATTGCATACCGTTTGCAAAATCTTATCAGATACTTAAATGGTGATCACAGAACACAGACAGAAAATAAATGTAGAAACACTTTTGCTTCCTTCCTTCCCAAACCTCACTCGCAATTTGCCTGTGAATCCCTTTATCATTACCACCTTTTTATGCTTACTGACCCCTAGCACTACCCACACCACATAAATAGTTCCTTCCTTTTTTACACGAGACACTAACCATTATTATCCTCCTTTTCTTCCTACTTTACACCACAGGACCAAAGGGTCAAATGGTTTAAATCCAAAAATCAAAACCACAATTAATGCTCCACTCTAGAATTTGAATAAAAAAATAGAAGACCAAATGAAGTTTGTGGTTCAAATGAAGGGACAAGCTGTGTAGTAAGAACTAAAATAGAAGCATTTAAAACTATCACTGAATTATCTATATGATCATATTCGTAAAACTGTACTGTACCACTTGCAAATGGATGTGTCTGTCAAAAGTCAAATATGCTAGCAATTAAAGACTGTGGTGAAGTATCGTGAGTATTTTGGTATTATAATTAAATAAGAATAACTAACAATATATATGTTACTTATATTGTCATCCAGTCGTGGATTCTTGAATATGCAAGATTACTGACTTTTATAGTAATTACCTTGAAAGGTATATATCTAAGGCATTTTCTAATAAGTTAACCATGTAAAGATCTTTAAAATGAGATGGTATTAGACACTTTGATGATATATGGGACTTAACCTTAAAACTCTTCTTAAATGCCATCGGCTAAGACAAATTCCAAGTGAAAATCTTATTAACAACTCATGCAAAAGCAATAGCATGTCAAGAGTCAAAACAGGTGCAACCATACAATAAAAGGACATACCTAGCTTTTAGAAGTAAAAGGATGGTGAAAACCTCAAGGCTATTGTAACCTCGATCAACAAAGTCTCCCTGCCATGCATTTACAAAAATATAAAACTCGAAAAACAGATATTTAATCATTGAAGTAAATGCAAAAAAAAGGGTGTAACAAATACCATAAAAATATAATTTGTCTCGGGCACATGACCCCCAGTTTGGAAAAGTTTCATCAGATCATGGAATTGACCATGAATATCACCACAAACAGTTACCGGACTATTGACAGGCTGCACATTGGACTCCTCAATAAGGATCTCTTTTACCTGAGGTATTTGAAAAAAACAAAACTTTTTGTTATGGGTTCAGTAGAAACAAAAGAATCTGCATGTTAGTATAAAACATATTTTAGTAGTATCGCCAAGGTGCACAAATGAAGACTACGACTACAGCAAAAATAGCCTTGAGAACCACTGTACAGCAATCTCTGTTTATTACCAACTTATCAACCTCACTCGTTCCCCATAGCAACCGCACACAAAATATGTCTAACTTATCACCAAATAATACAAGCATGTCCAGCAATAAGCACAATACAAACAAAGGCAGCCCAAGCCAAAATGTAATCGTTTTCTGGCAGGATTTCAGAACAACACTAAAGATCCTTTTGAGATTGAATTAAGTTGGCCCATGAAATGTCACTGGCAAAAAGGACTATTTCTACTCTAATGGACTATGATATTTTCTTCACATGCTACTATGAGTTCTTATACTCCAAACTCTCATTTACTGCAAACGGCTTTTAATAAAAACTTTTCAATGTAACTATGGACTTTATTGGATAAACTTCTCCAAAAACACTTGAAGGAGATAAAATCAAATAAGATTCTCTATAAACTAAAATTGGCTTAAGCACACATTGGGTTACAAATAAACTCGTTCCGTATTTTCTTCTACAAAGTTTATCCAAGACATTGGCCGTTAGCATAAAGGAAACAAAACAAATTATTTAGCAATGAGACAATTACATCGATAAATGACCGGGTTGCAACTGACTTTATTAAATACCATCCTCTTCGAATTGGGTGCAATACAAAACATAAAGAGTGAGAAAGAAAAAACTGTAGACATACGATACAAAGACAACACTCAGAAATTTTCTTGGGAAAACAGTTCAAGAAAAAAAAGGATAAAACCGTCCATGCATATTAATGAAAGAATCCGAATAATCCAATTCCGCAACAAAGACTTGGATCGAAAAGACAATGGAAACAAAACGCACAATCAGATTCCTAATTAAGAAAAAAAGGGGGAAATGTAAAGAGAATAAAGGGTGGGCATAAGAGAGTTTTGGAGTACATATTCGCAGAGAAGTTGAAGCTCGTCTTCAAGAAGATGTTGGCCATCTTTAACCTTCAAGATCCACTGGTCCAAATCCATCGTCTCCACAAAATGGTAACGGTTCGGTTTCAGTAACGAAAGGGCAGAACAAGAACCACGGATGTGAACGATGGATTAGGTTGAATGGAGTCAACAAACTATCACTTATATTCGTTAACCTTTTTTCTCCTACATTGCTCTCGCCTTTTGCTTATAACTGTTAACACTATTTTGCCTTAAAATAACACAAATCAAGATAATTAATTTATATATAAAAAAAA